CCAACCCTCAAAAAGTAAATCCCCTCATATCCCATCTACCCAAACCCGTACCTTCAGTAATTCTGCGGCCCAGCAAGGACCTACGACAACCTTCTTGGGCCCAGTTGGCTGCTGGTCCGGCACTACTGACATGGCGGTGATTGACCCCCCGAGCAAGACCGCGGGTCACTCGGGCATGACGGTCATGGTAGACAACCAGGGAAGAGTGACAATTATTGTCGTCGCTGCTAAAGCATTTAAATGACATTTTTTCAGGAAACAGTAGACCTACTGGGTTGAGCAAATATTTTTTTGTGTCGATGGCATCAAAAATCCTACACTGAAACAAAGATCCTATAACTATAAGTCTATGATACTAGTGCAGAATCTTTGACCGTAAGATAAGATCAGAGATAAGATAAGATAAGACACATCTTTATTGTCCAGATCTTGGCAGATTGGTTTGGTGTTTCACCACGTGCACACATACACATACACACACTCGCACACACACATACATACACACACACACACACACACACACACACACACACACACACAGACACACACACACATGCACACACATGCATAATATAAATGAACGGTAGTATAAACAATAATAATCTTACGCTAGATACACACTCAATGTTATTCTGATGCATGCTTAAAGGTCATATGAATACTTGTAACAAGATGGTTAAGATGGAAGAATTTTGATGGATGATGGAAAAAATGACCTTCAGAAGCCTAGGTCTTTTACTTCTGACTGATATTTTTATTTGAGGGAACAAGGGATGTTTATTGTCTAAAAAGATGGAATTAATTTTGTTTTAGTGCAAGCTGTTTTGTACAATTCATCCAAGTAGGGGAATGGGGAGGTTGAAATTTTGCATGCTTTCCGTATTAATCGATTTAATTTTTCTTTATCTTTTTGTCTTGTGTTCCCGACCCATGCTGTTATACACTATTTGATCTTACTTTCTATGGTTGAATGATAAAATTTGGACATCAATATTTTATCAATGTTTTCGGTCGGTTTTTGTGGCTTTTCGATGAAGTTAGAGCAGAGATCATCCAGCCTTTTTTAAAATGATGAGTTTATTAGGTGAGAATGACACAGCGGTCTTTGGTGAGTCCATCACTTAAGAATGTAGGCTACACATTGGTGAGTGATGAGTCCACTAGACAGGAATGGCAAATTGGTGAGTGGTGATTCCACTAAAATATTAACTTCCGTTGTTATAACGTTGTCTTTTTGCGCATCCATCAGTCTGATTCCATTATGAGTTAACCCACTCCCAGCTTCTCCTTTAACATCTATCTATCTATCTATCTATTTATCTATCTATCTATCTATCTATCTATCTATCTATCTATCTATCTATCTATCTATCTGTCTGTCTGTCTGTCTGTCTGTCTGTCTGTCTGTCTGTCTGTCTGTCTGTCAGTCTATCTATCTATCTATCTTATGGGGCAAAGAGAGAAACAAAGAAAGAAAGAAAGAAAAGATAAAGACATAATATAAAAGTAACATTGCAGTTAACTTGTGGATGCCAGTCCTGTTGCTTAAGTGACTGAGACATCAAGGTGAACGAAAGTTCCAGTTCCATCACGCACTTAGTTTTACATTTACTTGAAAGTATACAGGGTACAATCAAGTCATTAACAGTACGCTAAAGATCAATCTCTACCTCACGAACTGATCACTGCCGACACTAAGTGAAGATTCCGGGAGAATTAATGATTCAAGCTGTTTATTTTGGAAGCAGAAAGCGTGTTTGCCAAGATTATAATATTGTATGGCTAAGTCTACAAGTGGAGATCTGGATGCAACAACATAGCAAATGAAAATCAAAGTCACTATTATGAATCTTGAGGTGCTGTGTGCAGAAAAGAAATTTAATTTGAGAGTTTGTATGAAATACGGCGACATCATGGCTGGCAGAACTGTTGGGTAAAGCTGATTATAATTTATAACGTACAACACAAGCATGAATGAGTGAGAAACTATGGTGAGAAACAGAGCGAGAGAGAGAGAGAGAGAGAGAGAGAGAGAGAGAGAGAGAGAGAGAGAGAGAGAGAGAGAGAGAGAGAGAGAGAGAGAGAGAGAGAGAGAGAGAGAGAGAGAGAGAGAGAGAGAGAGAGAGAGAGAGAGAGAGAGAGAAAGAAATACAGATAGAGAAAGAGAGAGAAATAGAGTGAGAGAAAGAGAGAAAGAGAGAGACTGTGTGTGTGTGTGTGTGTGTGTGTGTGTGTGTGTGTGTGTGTGTGTGTGTGTGTGTGTGTGTGTGTGTGTGTGTGTGTGTTTTGCCCCCCCCCCGGCTTTCACGATAAGACCAATGATTATATTTACGGTCTCTGGATAACACTAAGTTTCTGGTATTTATAATTTAGCCCGAAGGGTAACGTTTTAGTCTCCTTGGCAACCGACCGCACAGCGACAGTGCTGGTCCCAGTGTGCTGTGACGTGAACCCTCAGTGATGAGTAGGGAATCTATTGTCTACTAGTCGTACGCCTTGAGCTCACTCTGTGAGTCTGTGAGGATCTCTTAGTTGGACTAAGTAAAGAATGGTGTGTATTGTGAGGGCGTAGGTAGATCAATGCACAGGTAACAAAACGCTGTGTGTTGCTGGCTTTGAGCAGGACGCCCGGGGGAAGCTGGTAGATTTATTAGTAATACATGTACTAGCGATTGACAGAGATAAATGGAAGGAACTTGTATGTGGCCTATACCCTGCCAGGGGTGAAAGGCATTGATGATGATGACAAGCGATTGCTTTTGATATTCTTTACCTTCTCTGTCTGTCTGTCTGTCTGTCTGTCTGTCTGTCTGTCTGTCTGTCTGTCTGTCTGTCTGTCTGTCTGTCTGTCTGTCTCTCTATCTATGTCTCTGTCTCTATGTTCCTCTGTGTCTCTCCTACTCCGCCTTCTCTCTCTCTTGTTATCTCCCTCTCTCTCTCTCTCTCTCTCTCTCTCTCTCTCTCGCTCTCTCTCTTTCTCTCTCTCTCTCTCTCTGTGTGCGTGCGTGCTCTCTTTCTCTCTCTCTCTCTCTGTGTGCGTGCGTGCGTGCGTGCGTGCGTGCGTGCGTGCGTGCGTGCGTGCGTGCGTGCGTGCGTGCGTGCGTGCGTGCGTGCCCAATTTATGTTAAATATCTGATGTGCTGCACCAATGTATGTAATTGCCTCGTCATATGTTAAATAAATGCCTTTCAAATTATAATATATTTTTGAAATCTTTGAAATCTCTCTCTCTCTCTCTCTCTCTCTCTCTCTCTCTCTCTCTCTCTCTCTCTCTCTCTCTCTCTCTCTCTCTCTCTCTCTCTCCCCCCCTCTCTCTCTCTCCTCTTA